GTGGAAGAACCCAGCTCCCTGAGGGTGGTGCCATCCCTAGGTATGTGGTACTGGTTGATATAAGAGAGAAGGATGGACACGCCATGAGGGGCAAGCCAGTAGGAGGACCACTGCTTCAGGTCCTGTCTCTGGGTTCCAGCCCTGAATTCTCTGGTTAATGGAGTGTAAACCGTAGGATCAAATGGATTTTTTCCTCCTAAGTTACTTTTGGTCATTTTTTTTTTATCTCATCAACAGCATTAAACTAAACCACCTATCTATGCTGGGAGTCTGGATGACTATTGCATGTGCAGTGGCAGCAGCTGCTGTGACAGATTTATCATATTTCTCTCCTGTCTCTCTGTCTCTCCATTTCTCTCTCTCTTTCCTCTCCTCTCTCATCTCTCTCTGTCTATCTCTGTCTCTTTCTCTCCCTCTCTTCCTCTCTCTTTGAAGTAGAGCTGTCTGTCTTAGAACCCTCCATGTAGACCAGGCTAGCCTCAAACTTGTGGAGATCTGCATGCCTCTGACTTCTAAGTGCTGGAATTAAAGGCATGTGCCACTATGTCTGGCTTCAACCTTGATTTTTAAGCTCTAACTAGAATCATCCAATTGTTTCTTTCCAGATTTGAGGTCAAGAACTATGTCTTACAGTCTCTTCAGTGTTTCCTATACTTTAGAATGAAAGAAACCCTTAATTATTACTTCCAGACTGATGGAAGTATACCCAAGAAATTTCTAGGTTAAAAACATCCTATCAGTGAGAGCCCAGAGAGGAATTGCAAAGCAATGGATGATTCAGGAACTCACTCTGTAGTTCTTGGAACTATGGACCAGGCTGGCCTCAAACATGGAGAGCCACCTGCTTCTGCCTCCTAAGTGCTAGGATCAAAGATGTGTGCTATACTTCTGACTGAGAGGGATCTTTCTAAGGACTACACACAGTGCTGGGTGTAACTCAGCCTGGCACATTTTAATATTGTGCGTCCTTTAGATCTCATCCTCAGGCCAAGTTTGCCTTAGTGGCTATCATAGGGTTTGGCAGTCCCTGCTTGGCACGATAGTCCCTTCTTGGTCACAGAGCCTCACTCAGGTGGCTGTTTTTTGATGGGCTCCTATGCCTCTCCCTTTGTATTATTTAATAATCTTGAAATCATGATCATCAGGTCTAACCTTATGTACTCAGTACTAAACACTGAGCTGGACACACCCAGTGCACACAGGATCGGAAAGGAATGATGTTGAAAGTCAGAGATGCCTTTGTTGGTTTCAGACTTTGAATTTAAATTCATGCACAGTGCTGGGGGATTTGCATAACCATTCCTGTATTGTTTCCTTCCAGGCTTCACAACTCAGAAGATTCTGGTGGACTGGTGTCAGAGTGCATGTGTTTGTGGAAGTATGTACGATAGGTTATTACAGAGATGAAGGTTAAGAGCAGTTAGTGTAATTGTTCCCGAGAGCAGGAGGGATGCTGATGTATTCTCTCTGAATTCATAGCCATAGGAAGTGAATTGAAGCTCTGGGTGGAGGTGAGGTGGGTGCTGTCACTCAGTCAGTTGGCTTATGTGTTTGAGGCCTTTGGATTTCTCAATTCAAAGGCAATCATTTTATGTTGATCTGAATGGCCAGTTAGTTGGAAGGTTGTGTGTTCAAACACACTGAAAAAAGAAAAAGAAAAAAAAAGGAAACAATGGGAAGAATCATCGTGTTCTTTTCTTTTCAGTCAATATTTGGAATTCTAGAAAGATTACAGAAGGTATCAGAGCTAGCTGCCCTACAAATTAGATTTCTGTGCATACATGGAGTTTTTGTCCCTAATTGGATGCTCTAGTGAATTTTTGTACATGTAAAGGATTTACTTTGCAAGTCCCACATCCTCCTGCCTGATTAGCCTTCTCACTTTCCTTTGGATTGTCTTCAGTAGCATCTGCAGTATTTTAGTATTTCCATTTTAAAAAGTTAATCTTCATCTGGTCTTCCAGGTAGTAATTTATGTTTTGCTCCCACACATATCAAATTCTCTAGCAGAAACTTGAGGTCTAAGATTTCGGGTCCACTTACCTCAGGATCAGGATCGACACTGGTGAGTTTAGTCTCAGAACCATAAAATAATATAGGCTTCAGAAAGGGCTTACAGAGAGAACATATGATCCATAGCACAGGAGTGTCACAGTGCAAGAACACACATTATCATAACACAGCAACCTTGTGTCACAGTGAAACCTGAAATGTTCCTTACACTTTGTGTCCTGGGGAAATGGCGGCTACCTGAGGACTCTGAGTTAATCCTAACTCCTTGAAGAGTCATAGGATGGCTTTGTTGGGAGGTGCTGAAGAATAGGAAGTGGGTTTGGCTGGAGGAAGTAGGTCACTGGTTTGTGTTCTTGGGCCTGTACTTTGTTCTGGTCACTTCCTGGATTTCCCTCTCCTTTCTTCCTGGCTTCCATGATGAGACCCACACCACTCCTCCATGCCCTCTGCATCATGTTTGACTGATACTTATGTAACCATGATCTAAAAGAAACTTTCCTCTCTGAAGTTATTTTACCAGGAATTTGACCCGGGGATGAGAACAGTCCCTGTGAATAGAAAGGGAAAATGGTCCTACTGGCTGAAGATTGTCTTATTCTATTTCTGCTGGCCTAACAGACTATCTGATAGGACAGTTCTGTTACCTGGCAAGTTCAAGAGTTTGGTGCTGGCCTGTGCTCAACCTCTGCTGAGGGCCTCATGCTGCTTCTATAATAGTGGGAAAGTGGAAAGACAAATGGCACATTGACAATGACAAAGCATGAGGGACAAAATTATTTATCCTGCTGTACTGGTAACCAATCTAGTGGAGAAGAGGGAGAGATAGAGGTAGAGAGGGAGATAGAGATGGAGATGGGGATGGGGATGGAGTTGGAGATGGGGATGGGAAAGGGAGAGGGAGAGGGAGAGGAGGTGGGGGACGGGGAGGGGGAGGGGGATAGTTTGGAGGGGCAG